TAGGCTTTCGAGCCTATACAGCTTGGAGTAAGACAACATGCATGAAGAGGATGATGTGGACAAAATACTCATTTGCCTAATAATTCTGCACTCCCTGTACACAGAGATTAATGGTTGATCCAGAATTGAACCATTGTTGGTTTGTGTGCACGGAAAAACAAAAAGAGACTTTCTTGTTCTGCTTTTTTTCTCTTTTAAACAGAGTAATACAGAGTAATGTCCCGTAAGACCACAAAATCATAAAACTGAAATCCACTACATATCAGGCTCTTAGACCCATATCTTATCACCATCACAAGTTTGTTTGCTTTCTGTGTTTTTACCGAGACAGACTTTCCATTTTGTCCTTGATAACATTGCCTTTTTCATGACTAATAAATCTATACTCGTGATTATGTTAACGATAAGCAGTCCAAAATAAATCATTAATGTGGTCATAAAGTATTAAGCTAATACTTGCTGTGCTGCTCTGGAGATGACGCTACAAATATGGAATCTGCAACTTCTCAACACAAATGAGAAAGAAAAGGCGGGATACGTTCATGTATGGTTCCAAAACAGAGTGGATAATTTATCCACAGTGCAACTGGTCGCGTTGAATCAGATTTCCTTCTCTTTATTATTCATTGTGAATTGTTAGCTGTGCATAGAGAGCTCTCTTAGCGTCTTTCTTTTTCTATTCAGTTGACATTCCTGATGGGGGGAAAATCCAGAATTCATAATGAAGTTCAAAACATTACATATGCAAGGAGAAATTTTGGATCGCTCGCAGCTACAGCTTTGCAGTGTTCCCGTTGCATGGATCTGCACCAACCGCTCTAATGCCAAAAGAGCATGAAACAGAAATGACATATGCTGCAAAACTTGAAATGTATGTAGCTTCCTCAATATTATCCTTGACTGGCTCGCTTTGTTTCAAATGTGTGTCCAAACCATGTACACAGATAGATGACCCAGCAAAGGAATTCCTGCAGCAGCTCAATGAAATGGCTTATGCAGGGCAAATTTAATATGTGGTTTTGCCCAGACAATACAGGGGTTTGAGCAGCTCTGCCATGCCCTGGAGCTGGGTGATGAAGAAGAGCAACACAGAGGAGAATGGGGCCTTTGTGAGAAAGTTTGAAAGCCCCTTGCAGGATGCAGCAAAACCTGACCCAAGACGACAAGTCCCTGTAGGGGAAATAAAATGGGTAATCATTACATAAGTGCCACAAACTGTTAATATCTAGGGAACAAAAGAAGTGCAAACTAAAGTGTGACTGGTAGAATGTACATACGCTCGAGCTCTGAGTGACTCGGGTCACTTTCTCAGCAAGGTGATTCTTATCGGAACACATGTGTTTGGGATTTTACATATATATCATCATTATTATTTAATGTCCATGATATTATCTTTTACAGCTGAATAGAGAAATGAAGGTCATTTGTCATTTCTGCTGTAGCAGCACAATGAAGTCTGCTGCAGAGATTCCATCTGGGTGAAATAAAACAAAGAGATGTTTCATGATCTTCCATCTAATCAAACATCTGGGATGGAGAAGCAATTTTTTTAAGCACAAAGCATCCTCTTTGGAGCCCATAATTTCAAGTAACTTTGCAAAACACTGTTTTAGCAATGTTTCAGTATGCACGCTGCAGAATCATTTAGTCCTGGTGGTTAAGTTTCAAGTCCAGCTGGGGACTGCTCATTTCTCTCGGTCCCCAGTCCTAACTGACATGCTTGCTCTCCAATAAACATAAAAGGACACTGCTGGATCCCTAAAAATCTGTTTAATATTTCATTTATATTTCTCGTGTTTCTGTGGGGCTTTAACTCAATGTTTGTTACCCATAATGCATCACTAAACCATCTTAGGAAGTGACTGCTCAAACTGAATGCCTACACTGAATAACCAGACCATTTTCTGATCGCATTTTAACACATTATACTCATTTGTAAACATTTAATAACATTCAAAGAAGGCGTAAGGCGCTTTCAAATGACATTAGCCACACTAACAGGAGTCATCTGACTGGAATACCTCTAATTTCTAGTATAGACTGTTTTCATGCAGAATCCTAACATGATAATTGGATTTTCTGTTCTGAGTTGCTTTCTCAAGTCCAGTCACATGGCCCCATTAGCCATTTAGCTTCTCCTTTGGTTCTTGAGTTGTAACATTGCAGGCCAAGAAGAAGCCAGCCAAATCACTATTAACTGCAGATCTTTGATGATTCTGTAACATGTTTAAATGAACTGGTTGATCTGATTTTCCAAAAGTTCCTGAACCAGAAACAGCTTGAGGGGGAATAAAGAATAGTGAGAAACCAGTTGTTTTTGTTTAGAATTAGAAGAAAAACATAAAAAATGAATGCCTGGATTATTAACAAGCAGATTAAGAGGTACAAAAGCTTCACTCGGCTGTTTTTTTCTCTTTTTGAAGCAATTTAAGGGTGAGCTCTAAGGGCTTGTTACACAGCTTATCACATCCGTTAAGTTAGTGGGTAGAGTACAGTTTACACCAAGGCACACATCCTGTGCATAAACTCACAACTGCTCTTATTACCTGTTCTAGCCAACAGATGGCATGAAACTGTGCCCTCAACAGGACGATGGTATGTGCACAGAGTAACAGGCATAAAGTTGTTTTCTTCAGAGGCTGCCATTGCATATGGTCCCAACTGAATAAAAGGACTATGTAAAGTCATATTTAGAGCAAAAGCTGCCTCTCAAAGAGAATCATATAATGTGCTGAATCTTAGGTCCTTCTTCACTGTTTTTTTTTAATCATCCTTTCAATTTCAAAAGCGCACAGATTTTGGTTTCACATGACACAAAAACATCAAATCTCAGCATTATTCACTGTAAGGAAGAGGACTCCCTTACTGCATTTATTTATATTATCTGTATAGCACTTTAGAGCACACCTTTCACTTTGTTAAAAGCACCTTATCAAGCACTTTATTTAGCGTTGCACTTTAAGCATGGATTTGCACACAAGTTTAAATATTTATTGACCATTTATTGGGAATTTTAAAATCAGTTGGTAGCCTTATTTCAGATCCTGCACAGCTGCTCCTCATCAAGGAATGTGGTGGCTGTCTGTCAGGAGAGAAGAATGGTGATTGAGATTGTGATCAAGGTTTACCAGTAAGGAAAACTAATGCAAGTGTGTGTGTGAAATCTAGGGATGAAAGTGGTGCAAATAAGTGTAAGATAATGATTACTCAGCTTTCTTGCCTGTGTCCTCTTCAAGGTGTTTGGGCAAATATTTCACTGGGGGTCCAGACACCATTTAAATGTTCCAGGAGAGACCATTGGTAAAGAGAGTGTGGTGAATCTTTTTGTGCTTGGGTTTCTGGGTTTTTATAATATTGGGTTTGGTGTAACATTAAAGTGTGAAATATTTATTAATATGTAAATGTGAAAATATATTTATGTATTTATTTATTCTTATTGATATATTGTATACTGTGGTGGAAGGTTGGGATTTAAGAATTTACCTGAGAGTGGAATAATGGTTAAGTCTGTGACAGCTGAACATATTTAAGGCTGCCAGTTGTCATTAGAGGTGGATTTTTGTGCTGTGAAGAAGCTCGACAAATTAATTGTTGTAAGGCGAGCTGTATAGCAAATAATTACTTTGTTCCACTACAATTGCCTTGGTCCATCTCACTGTGTTTCCAGCCGCTAAGGGCCGCTCTGTTACATGCACAAATTGCACAAACACTCAAACACATGATTTTGAAGCTACGTACATCATTTATCAATATGGTAATACCACCAATACTACACAAGTACTGATCAAAAGGTTTAAAATCTTGAATCTGGACTCTCAATGTGTCAAAAAGAAATGTAAAAAAAAAAGCAGTTTTGACCCATGCACATCTCCTGAACGTTGTCGGAATTTTTCACATTTTCTGTTACATTCTGTCACTTTTTATATTGGCTCAAGAACAAAACCGTGTCCATTGATCTTTTTAAGTAAACAACTGTAGCTGCCCAGCAACATTCAATCATCCCCAATGCTTCCAGATATTAACATTGCAAATTTATCATCATGCCCTAGCTCATTCGTTGAGATTTGCCACACTGGTATTCTATTTGTTCAGTGCATTAGAAAACTCCACACCAAAAATGCATTTTTCAGAACCATCAGGAGGATGAATCACGAGTCCTGCACGTACACTTGATCTCGACTACATAAAAGAACTATGCAAGGTTATCACTTAACACATGTTAACACCTTTTTACAAGGAAAATCTACTCTAACTGCTGCCTGCAGCTGTGTTCTTCTCTCAAAGTGTGTGCAGTTCGCCAACATTGAGTTGACCAAGTGACCAGAAAAATGATATTCAGTGTGAGCCTGCTGCCAGGTGTCATTACATTTCCCCCTATCCAGCAGAGAAAAGCAGCCACACACGCAGACATCTGTTTCTAAGATACCCTCCCAAGCTCATAACAGTGTCCTTTTTGCCTTATTTTGTGATCATATTGAGAAGCTGTGGTGTGTGCGTGTAAAAATTGAGCCTCTATCAATCTTTGAGTGTACTCATGCAACAAAGCCTGACTGGACCGAGACATTTCCTCAGAAACTTGTTATTTTCCAAAAGCCAACCAACAAACACAAGTCTCACATTTGGCCTAATGCATTCAGAAGTATAAAAAAGGCTGTATTTGACTACATCAGGACACAACAACTCACAGTTGTGCATGCAGAGGGCTGATGGTACATTTTGACACGAATTCATATGCAAAGGGCGCATGGATTTTATTTTAAAATCCCATAACACTGAGCATTGTGAAACATATTCCAAACAGCCGCCTCCATCACTTTTCATGCCAACTCTGACATCCAAGCAACAATCCCCCCCCCCCGCCACTTCCTGTGACAACAGTATCTGCTTATGATCTCGCTGGTGGACAAGCACACAGTCCTCAAGGCTGGCTCAGTGTGTGGCGGTGGGTGAAATCCCCCCTTTTGTGCAGCAGAGTGTTGGACCAGGCCGGGTGTCCTCTTAGTCAAATCAAAGGCGCTTCCTCCGGCACTGTGGCAGAGCCCACTGCCTCTGGAGCTACTCATTATTACATGCGAAGGGGGACTTGTGATCTTTTTAATTATTCTGCACTTCATTTCTATCCCACCATTCAAAACGCAACATGAGAATTGATTGCCTCAAAGATCCATCTTTATAATCTCCCTCAGGCCCATAAATTATCCAACTTTTGGGCAGGGTGGACGAGCCATGCAGGCACAAGCAGATCCCTTTCAGAGCTAGGCGGAGGCACATCGCTGCAGTGTGTTGGGGGGAGCCAAACTGAATGGGGCTGCTCTTTTGCACGCTGAAAAACGACAGGGAGAAAAAAAAGTACACTTGTTATCTTGTGAACCCTCAAACATGTAAGATAGGAATCTCTTGAATGTCAGCGACAGAAATGGAATTAACAAGAGATCTTTTTATTGTCACAGAAGGTCATTAGGCTGCCAATCGGGGTAATTATGGAAATGATCTCCCCAGCTCTTTGGAATGTTTTCCTGCTTCCATAAGGACTTGAAAGTGTTCAATCAGCCTCTCTCGTGGGAAAGTTCAGCCATAACTGCAAGTGTACCAGCAAAATCAAATTAAGCAAAGAGATTTCATTAGTATTTATAGCCCCGAGGCATTTGTAAAAGTATGGAGCTGCAGAGTAATGTGGGACTGTGGCGAAGAGAATTATTGCTTAATGACAAAGGCCATACCTAGAAGACATACACATGGATAATGAATAGGAGGCATTGATTACATCTTTGAAGAGGATTCTGGAGGGATTGTAAAATATTGATGCTTACTTTGGACTCCCTGCATGGATGCAAGGGAGATAACTTTGTTGCTAACCCCGCTATGCTGTTTGCTTTATTATCTGCAGACGTTCTACCTAAAAGCAAATATTGTAATGCAACACTGTTGCAATAATTTTAGATGGTTTTATCTTGTGTTTTATATAAAGGTTTTGTGTATTTTTACTGCTGTAGTTCTGTTGCTGCATTTACTAAGTGTGAAAGAGAACTGAAGCATAGCTTAAAGGCTGCAACATCTACTCAGGCACTCTTTAGGTGTTCATGACCAGTTTAAATGTATTTAAATGGATACTGGAAGGGGGGTAAAAATAGGTTTGCTGAAACGAAGTAAGTTTATGTTTTCTTTGTGTGTGAAATGCACTTCGCCATCTGGGGTAAAAATGAAATGAAGTCAGATAGCAGTGTGCGATCAGGTGGAACACCTGATTTGAATCACTGGGTCTATTCAGTCCACTTAACCTCAGAGTAATTGACAATTTAAAGGTGCAGTCCTTAATTTCAACGGACAGAACCAGGACTTTGATTAGGATGTGTGATATGCACTTCCCCGCAGGAATAACAGGCAAGGACATTTTTTTTAAATAACGCAAATAGGGGAAGCCATACATTAAATGTAAAATATTATGTTTGGAGATTAAAGGAATAATATTAGGCCTGCAAGAGAACAAGCACGTTATAGACAAGTGATACTAATGTGATCTTAGACCTTTTTATACATCATTTATACATCATTTTAAGCTTCTTTGTAAGTCACACCACACATACGTTTTAAACACAAACACACATTTCGGTCAATCATACAATGAAAACACCATTCCTCTCCGACCGAAAGCTTTTGTCTCATTATCTCATTTTTTTTCTCCCACAATAATTGGGTTCGTGAAGAGGTAAAGTGTCTCTGTGAAGAACTTGACAGATTATGTGAAGGTGTATTATTATGTGTAGGGCAGGCGGGATGTAGGAGATAATTTACTGTGATGTTACATTTATTTATATATATGCATCAATAAGCAGGAGGATATTGAGTTCAGGGGTCGAGCTGAATGAGAGTTCTCTTTCATGCTTATGGGGAAAAGGTGCTTTGCATGCAAACATTAATACTGGCGCGTGAAGATTTTCATTGTGAAATCAAAGAAATGTGAGATAAGGGTTTTTTTTTTATTGTTCTGCATTTCAAGAATTTTTGCAATGGCAAATAACCTCAAATCAAGTGTACTCCTGAAAACAAAGGGCCAATACAATCAAAATCCAGTGAAACGTTTATTAAATGCACTGATTTCCTCACTTTTTATTCTGAAACTTACACACTGGTTAAAAACGTGGAGATGAACCTGTGAGCGCTATTATAGGTATTTCTGAGATGCTTTCTTTATCATTTGACATCCTTGGCTGTGACTATTAGCACATCGTTTACTGTTCTTTCAGTGATTCAGTTCAAAGACAAGGTGCGCGTGTTTTGGCACCGCGCTAAATGCCCGCAATTGGGCCAATTTGCACTGTTTACGGCTTGAATCGCAACACAGTGATATTCCGATTCAGTCCTTAATCTGAATGACAATGAACCTACAAATAGGGTGACACCGCGCGTATTTAACAAGCACACAATGGCATGGTAATCCGGCTGCATTTAACTGAAGGTGTCACTTTCCCACCAGCACCTGCGAGTTTCCACGCAACCAGCCTTCTCCTGGGGGCTTCTCACTCACGGGCAGCCGTAGGGGTGGGACAGGAGCGAAGGCCGGCGTGTTTACGAGTTAAAATATTTGATATTAGATTGTAATACAAATTTATGTAAAAACAAATGAAAAAATGTGGTTTGTGTACATTAAAGGACGTGAAAATGATCAGTCAATATTAATTCAAAGCGACAATAAAGTAACGTGTGCTTCTTTGTAACCAGATACATCTCTTACGGGAATAAAATCTTTTGATTTTTTTCCCGAATTTTCATATATTACGTTCTCTTATTTTATTGTTGTTTCTCGTGTTTGCTTGATTTATTTCAAATTATCTTTTATGTCACAACACGAAAATCATCAGGCTAGAAAAAAAGGTCTTCGACTTATTCTAGTGACAGACAGCTGTTTAAGCTGTGCATGAGTTTATTTCTGCTCGCCGCTTGACCCAGATATCGCCCCAGTGTCCACTAAGAGTGCAATCCCCCCAATTGCTTTTTTCAAAGAATGAAAGAAATTAGTTGATTTTTTTTCTTTTCCTACCTGAAACACAAGCAGCTGATCTGGGGGGAAACTATTAAAGGGAAGATGGAAAACAGTGGCTGTAAGTAGGAGACCTAAACTTGAGACTGGGAAATCAATAGAAAGGCGTGGGGTGTGTCCCCTTAAACGTGATATTATCGCTCAATCGATCCCCATTAAAAATATAAAACCGCATTAGCATCCAAAAACGGCCCGTGAATGAGCTGTAAATGGTAAAGTGAGTAAAGGCACGACGTTTCATGGATCACCTGCTGCAACTGCGCAGCCTGACCTGTTGAAATGTGTCTTTATACAGACGCGTCAAACAGATGGGACGTCCAACAAAACACAAACACACACACACAGTGAGAGAGAGACAGCATACACGCTCGGATCTTTGGCTTCCATTCTAGGTCCTTTTTTCTTGCTTTTGACGTGACATGTGAGAGATTTGGCTGCGGCCGATCCAGCAGGAGGGAGGGTTAAAAAATGAGCTCCATCATATTGTTTGACAGAAACTCGCAGGTTGATAGAGTGGATTCTGAGAAGGGCTGAAAATGGTGATTTCCAAAAGAGAAGAGGAAGAAACGAACACAAAAAAGAGGAGGGGAGGTGAAAAGCTGTCATACCTGCCTTCTGGATTGAGTAAAATGTGAAAAAAATCCAGTTCTGGGGAAGAAGAATGTGTAAAGTTTTGTTGTGATATTCTAATATTGAGCTATTTCGTTTTTTATTTAATGTGACAATCCAAAGATCTGACTGACTGCTGTGAAATAATTAACATAATGGTCGCAATAAGAATGTATCAGTTCATCGTCACATTGGGGGTCGCATGCTGCCCCTAGAGATGCACTCTGTCACCTGATCAGTGAGCTGCCTTTAAAGATATGGTTTTGCGGAAAATCCGTGCAAGAATGTGAATTATTTAGCCCGCTTCAATGTAAAGTTGCATTTTTGAGCATTAATATTGTCATGTTTGCATCATGCACAACGTTTTATTCTTCCAAAGACTCCCTCAAGACATGCAAATGAATAATTATATAAAATAACATTTTACAAATGTATCTTAAGCATATTTCGCAGGGAAATAAAGATCCTGGTTTCACCAGTGCGCACGCGAGGTTTTACGCCAAAGTTACTTTTGAGAGTTTTACAGGAAAAGCTGTTACAAAGCTGTTTGTACTCCGAATGTTTTTGTGTGCCAATTGGGATGTTATTAGGACAGCACTTCCAAAAAACCTCCAGTAGTTTTCTACTCTAAAAAGCCCTGACGCCTGTGTCAGGAAATGATCGAAAATTAAAAATATAATACAGCCATACTTTTAAATATTTATATTAATACATTTATAGAAACATATGATTTGTATATATTTATACAACTTACAAATACTTTGTATATAAGAAAATTACAACTATTTTAAAATTATTCACCCCTTCATTATTATTATTATTATTAGTAGTAGTAGTATTATCACAAAATAAGCATGCTGTCCAATCTGGTAGACTAAATAAAAATAAATTATAAGTCACATATCTTCACCTTTTCTTTTCCCTCGCCACCAAATTTTGATAATAAGCGTCTCCTGTCACCTTTATTCATTCAGACAAAATCAGCTCTGTAGCAGTCTGAGGCGTTAGCCTCGCCAGAGTCTCTCTGAGCAACGCACTCCTCCAACCTCCCAGCTTCTGCAGGTGACCTCTGAACCCAGGGACAGACGCACGAGGACGGGGCAGAAAGCAGGAATCGCGGGAGCATAATGCCTTATTGTGATGACAATTATTTGTTCGGTGACCTTGCTGGTACGGCGTGCACTCATCACATGTGCTGGCTCTTTCCTCTCCATCACCTGTGCTGCCTCAACCGCCGCCGCTTCTGCTTCTGCTGCTCCACTGCCATCTCCTCTTCCCACCTCCACCCAGCCACCCCCACACTCCTGCTTGCACTCGTTGGTTTCATGCAGGAACGAGATGGCTTATTACACTAAAAGGTTTTGTCGCGCTAAGCCGTGCATGCGTGCTTAAAACGTACTTTTCATTAACAAACTGCGGAGGTATAAAAGCGGATTTATGAGGCTTCAAAAGATCACAGGAAGGACGGGTTTGAAACCCCCTCTCGGTGCTTTTGCAGTCAGGTTATATCAGCAGTTACGCCGCCTTTCACACAACACTGCAACTCCGGGATTTTTTATTTTTTGTTTTTAATGAAGGCTTGCTGCACCTGCCTTTCCTAAAAGAGGGGGGTTAGGACAGCTGTTCTGCGATCATCTGATTCTTTAAAGTAAAACAAAAATATAAGAAAACTGTAAAAATAAATAAATAAATAAAATCAAACATCTGCTATACCCACGTGTCTCTTATTTTGCTCCTGTAAAAGATTTATTCCGTAAGAAGACAAAGAAAAGGAGGATTCTTGATTGGGCCCAACACGAGTTATTCTGCTGTTAAACGCCCGAATGTAAAGAAAGAAAGAAAAGAACGAACTGTGATGGAGAAAGTTTTCCTTTTAAAAAGAAAAAATATATATTGAAAAAAATCTGTCAATTAAAACGCAACTATATATCTTTTTTTTTTTAATGTTTTAATCTGACAAATCCACAAAGCAAATAAGCGATTCCTTAAATACACTCTCGCCGCGCGGATGAACAGGATGAAAGTTGACCCAAGCCTCTGGATTCATCTTCTAAGTAGCCCCGGTATTGACGGACATCCAGATCGTGCGGGTCATCGAGAGATTAACGCGGAGCCAGTCCGATCGGAATCCACGATTCCGTCCTTTTGACCCGAACACACACGCATTATTAATGATAGTGTTTTAATTTAATCCCACTTTTAGCTTCGCCAGCTCAGGTGCCGGTGAAGAGGCGCTGTGAACTGCAGAAGGCACTTAAGGGATCAAATTTACCCCCAAATTATACAAATTAAGTACAATAATAATAATAATAATAATAATAATAATAATAATAATAATAATAATAATAATTCAGTGTTGTATCGTTAATTTTATTTGAATAAAGCCCTAACATTAAATACCTGGCTCGTGCTGATTTTTAGGTATTTCCTCCTGAGAGGTTCCAGAAACCGTGTGTACGTTCAAGGCGCCTGTGTCAAGCTCGAAAATGTCTAAATTGCTGTTTTTATTTTAACACACAAACGTTAAGATAAGCCGCTTTGACAAACGGCCTAAATACAGCAGCTCGTGCTTTCCTATCAGTCCTCCCAGATTTTCGCACGCGACGCAGGAAGCCTTGTGTAAAGGACCTGACGTGCCCCCTCTGTCAGAGCTCAGCCTGCACCGCTTCACCTTCACGCTTTTGTGAATAAACGTTCTCTTTGCACTCACCCGCTGCCCGCATTTCCTACTTTTTTTTCAAATGCAAAAACTCGGGGTGACACGGACACGGGGGGGG